CGCGCTTCCTTTCGTGAGGGCCAGAATATGGTCTCTGAGAGCCGGCTCGGTGCAGTGCGACGGCCCAGGCCAGAAACCGGGAGACCTGAGTTCTAGTTCGGCCTCGGTCACGAAGCCTGCTGGGTGGCCCTCGGCCAGTCCCTCTCTCTCAGCCCTAGGAGGCAGGCAATGGCAAAGCGCTTCTGAAAAACCTTGCCAAGAAAACTGCAGGGACAGTCCAGGCGGTCCCCAGGAGTCAACACTGACCTGAAAGCACAGAAGAAAGAAAGGAAAAAAGAAGAGAATCTTGCATTTGAGAGAGAGACTGAACTGAGGTTGCTGAGAAATCCAGTTCAGCAACTGTGTTGCCTTTAACCCGAGGCACAGACCCAGCCGAGTGGAGGCTCATGCGGAGTCCTGGCAACCAGAGGCAGCCGGGGTGGCCCTTAGTTGTCCTTTTGATCATTGCAGAAATCACACAATCCAATTTTGCAGCCATGAAAGGGAGCTCAGTGTAATTTTGAAAAGTCCTACTCAAACTGTCCCCTGAAATCTCCATGGGCAGAGATTTCATGGGCACTCCGTGCCCCCTGCACGAGAGTCCTGAGCTGACCAAATGTAACGTAACGAAACATGAGTTGCCCCCTGTGTAGAGTCTCCCCAGGCCGTGTGTCAAAGAGGCTGTGGATTCGAGAAAGGTCACGGCCTGTCCTCTGTCTTGCAGAGCATCGTCGGTCACTGTTGTCCACCCCACAGAGACAGCGGAGTTGTGCACTGCGGCCTGAAATTCCCCCAGTTCCTCATTTCCGACCGGGAGTTTCCTGGCTCCAGCCGACTCCTCCTGAAGGTTGCAAAGGGGTTTGTCATGGTGGGAGAGGATGGAGGCACTTCTCAGTTTTTGGGGAAACTAAGGATTTTATACCAAAACCTTGGTGGGCCAGCCCTACAGTGGGCCAAATGAGACAGCAGAGGGGGCTGGTATTTAGGATGGTAGGGTTAGTTGGGAGTGTGAACTATTTGTTATGTCTAAAAAATCCAGATGTATTAGAAAATCAGGAAAATGTAATCAGGAATTACAGGGGTGCAATGTAATCCGTGGCCATACATTTCTTTGAAATACCATATGGATCTTTGAAGTGACTCAACATGATGACTGAATTCCAAGACTGCAGTTTGTATACCATAGTTTATGGTTTATGGCTTATCTGTGTACCATCATGAATTGTGGCATATTCCACAAGCCATGATCAAATCCAACTAGCTAATTGTGTAAGTGAACATGAACAGTCAATAACCATGTTTCTAGATTCTTCACATAATTGAAAAGTGGAAAATTGTAAAATTATAAATTGATGTATCATGAATGTGAAATCTTCCGTTTCCAGGATCCAGGATTTTGCTTCTTTTTCAGCGGCCCCCCTTCTGCCCCATCAAGCATTTGACTGTAGCGCAAATGGCTTCCCTCCCTGCAGAGACCCGGCACCGAGGGGTGGATGTTGGGGTGGCCCTCCTCCTGGAATCACCCAGCCAAAAGGTGTTGTTGACACGCCGGGCGAGGACACTGAGCATCTTCCCCAATGTTTGGGTGCCTCCTGGTAAGAAGGACTGAAGTGGGGGGGATTGGGTGCAAGGGGATGGCAAGGCCTGCAGAGATGAGCTTCTTCAGCCCCAAGGATGGGCAGCCTTTGGCCTGGAAAAGCTCTTCTGGAAGTCGCACTCCAGTGTCCTTATTCTTGAAGCTTGAGATTTTTTTTAAAAAATACAGCTTTGTATTGATGCACTCCCTGTAAGTAAGCAGAACCTGCACCTGGGTGAGTGAGCAGGCTGGTAGTTGAGAGGTTAAATTTACTTAATGTGGAATCCAAAGCTCCTTTCTCTGTGCCTGGCAAAAAAGTTAAAAAAAAGAAAGAAAAGATGATTGATGATTAAACTGTAGGCTAAAGATTTCTGGTGTTGGGAGATGAGTCGACCTCCCAGGAGGCCTCTTTTGTTTGATCTCATTGAATACCAGCAGCAGGAGATACACTCAGCGGTATTTGCTGTCTGGATAGGTGTCGACCTGCATGGGGGCAGGAAAATGGTTGTATTAATTAACATATTTGGTTGATACTGTGCCCTTCTTCTCAGGCAACACTCAAGGGAACTAACAAGATTTAACTATTAAAACAATATGGACTAAGAACACCAATTAAAATTAATGATAAAATAAGTATTAACCTCATCTGACAATTAAAATCAGTAGTTTGCGTTACTTTAAGTGAGCTTCTTTAAAAAGACAAAAATAGAAACAGTAATCTGAAACAGGGACAGTTGGAGCAAAACCTTCTGGGCCCAGATCCCATTATCCTGATTCTCTCAGGTCAGTCAGTTTTTTACAAAGCAAGTTCCTAGCAAGTCCTCACTGTTCCTTCTTGCTCTGAATTTCTCCCTGAAAAGCCCTGGGGCATCTCTTAGGAGGGCAAGGGATTCTTGGTTTCCCAGTTAGAGCTAGTTGGGTGGAAAAGTGCTCTTACTGTCCTTATGGGCATGGGGTGATGGGCGACCAAACTTTTCAGAAATGGGTTGATTATAGCCAGTTAGAGATTTGAACCTGGGGCTTTGGTGTTCAAAGATGGAATTCTTGGACCCTCCTCTGACATCAGCAGCATTTGCATTGGGGCAATACTGACATTCAGCCCATTTTTTTGTAACACCAAGGCTTGGAACAAAAAGGGATTACTGAATCCTAGTTTTCAGAAGCGATTAATGGGGCAGAAACGTAGATGTTTCTTTTTCCTTGCAGGAGGCCACATTGAACCGGAGGAACAGGTAATGGTCTTTTTAAAAAACAAAACAAAAAAGGGAGAACACAGACTCAAAGGCCAGGAATTAATGTAGGAAGCCTTGGGGGGAAATCTGGTTGGCATTTTACAAGCTTGATTAGAACTGGAATTCTGAAAGCATGATAGAAGGCCTGAAGGATTCAGGGAAGGAATTTTGCCTTTTGGGAAAATGTTAAAAAAAAGAATAGCTTTTATTCTGTGTGGTGTGGGTGTCTCCTCATTATCATATACAAAAAACACACCAGGTTGGGGGAATCTAAGCTTAAGTAAAGGGGGGTCTGTGTGATGGGAAGCACTCTGTCCATGTTCAGAGGCATTCTGAGTTGCAACCTGCCCCAGTGCCCACTGATTTCAGGAGCTGCCTCGTCTCCCCACCTTTGTTTCTTTCTTATCCACAGTTGCTGGATGCGGGGCTGAGGGAGCTGCAGGAAGAGACTGGCTTGTGGCTGCAGGAGAATGAGTTCTCGTGGCACCCGCTGGCCCTCTGGGAGGTAAGGTGCTGAGACCGTGCCTGGGTGCAGGTGCTGGAAATTTGGTGCAGAGAGGTAGGCTGGCTGGGCCTGAAAGCAGGCAAGCGGGTCCCCTTGTGATGAAACGCTCGATCTGCCCAGCTCTGCCTTGGATGCCATTTCCAAGCAGCTCCTTGTGTGGGTGCTCACTTGGGCCTCCCTGTGGTCCACCCCATTTGGGAATTGATTTTCAGAGGCCCCGAGGTGTGGGAGGAAGGCAGAGAGCTCCGGCGGTAAGTTCACACAACAGGCTCCAGGGCTTATGGCTCCATGTGGTGAGCTTAAGCTGTTGAGCAAAGCAGCTCAGCTGGCATACGCTGCAGTGGCTTGGACCTCAGAGATGGCAGAAACCCAGCTGGCGTAGCGCGTTGGGTGAGAATGTGGTCTTTTTTCTCCCAAGTATTTTAGAGCCTCAGCGGGCAAGACCAAGCTGGCTTATTAACAGCAGTTATGGGGAGAGAGCCATGGCAGCTTGCTCACCCTGGCTCAAGGTGATAATGGGACACAGGGAGATATGGGACTGGAAACAGAGGGTCTCGAGTGGAGTGGTCAGTGAAGCTCTGGACAGAGCAAGGCGGAGGCTTGCAGGGAGTTGCGGTGCTCCCATTCTCCCTTGTTTTGTTCCACGTGCAGTCTGTGTACCCCCCCCGGCTGAGCCAGGGCTTGCCCCAGCGCCATCACATCGTGATCTATCTCCACTTGGTTTTGCACAAGAGCCACCAGCAGCTCCAGGTGAGTGGGGGACCTTGGCCAGACTCAAGTCCCTGCTGATGGCCAGTGTCTGCAGCAATGTCTGCTTTGTCTAAATTCCACTGACTGAGTTTACATCCTGCCTTTTCTCAGAGAGCCCAAGATGACGTGCGCTGGGGTCTCCCTTAATTATATCCCACAACAACCTTGTGAGGTAGGTTGGGCTGACAGTGAGCAGCCCAAAGCCATGCCAGCCTAATGCCTCAATGACTAGAGGATTGCAGTCTAAGCAAATTGCCCCCTATTTCCTGAGGTTATTCTTAAAGCCATCTTATTTTAATCATGGTTTGATGCCTAAGCCACAGTTGTCCTGAGTTTACTAACAGGGCTGCATGTGGTCCTCCAAAGCTTTGGGCGCAGCTCCCACAATTCCAGAGCTTGTTTTCTCAATTGTAATGTTTAATTAGTGTGTAATTTGGGGTAATTTCATATGACAGAAGGGAGGAGTGATTGCATGTGAGATTGGAGAGCAGTTGTATTAACAAGAAGCCATTTTAATGACATGGGAATGAGATTGTAATGATTGTCCTGCACTCTCCCGGTTGGACTGCAGCCAGCAAGAGTCCATGCAAAGCCAAAATGCAGCTTCAGCCTGGCACAAGTTGCTTAGCCAGAAGCAAATGAATTAATGTTGTTTTTGGTTCTTGGAGAGGCATAAAAGAGGAATGCAATTTGATGCTGCAGCACGGGGGGGGGGCGGGAGAGCTTGCTTGACTTGCGGATTGATCCAAGTCTCTTGCCAGGCAAGGTTTAAGCCCAATGAAGCCGAGGTCACAGCTTTCGCTTGGCTGGAGCCCCCCACCCTGGCATCAATTGCGGCTACAGAGGATGGGGCAGAAAGTGAGGCCATGGGGGTGGATGGTGACGCTCCATCGACTGTCAGGTATGTGGAAGGGAAGAGTGTTCCCAGCTTTCCTACTCAAGCAATGAAAAACCCAGTTTTCAAAGCAAGAACCAAGGTTCTAGTCCTCATAAGTTGGCTGAAGGAAAAACAGTTTGCTCCAGGTTTATTTGTTCCTTGTCTTAGGTAGTGAAACTGCGTTCTCAGGAAACAGAGTTAATTGTTCTTCCTTTAGCGTGAGTGCTATTATTTAAGCCTTTGCAGTCAGTAACGTTCTGAGTAATTTCCCCATAATACTGGCATGTAAGAGCTAAATCTGTCCAGCCACCTCAAGGAGAGAAGGTCCAAAATCTCTCCTCCTTCTGCTTTAGTTCATCATTTGTGAAACTTCCAAAAGATAAATGGCCTTCTTTACCATTCAGTTTACATTTAGAAAGTATATAAGTAGATTACTGGTCTGTTGCCATGCAAACTGAGAAGTCATTTTGAATTAATAGCTACTTACTTTGTGGCAAACCATCCTATCGCTGGAAAACTAGCACATGCTAGCTGAGTTGATGGGTTCCATAGTCCAGCCTAGATGGGGGGTGGCCAATTCATCCCCCAGACTTTCATTGGAGAGGATTGTGGGCAGGCAGAAGAGAATCCCAGGTTCCCATGTGCAATGGGAAGAAGTAGATTCTGGAAATGAATGGGCAGAGCTTCTCAGTGGTTATAGCTCAGCAGCAGGACTGTTGAGTTACTCACAGAAACCTGCAGCCAGTTCTACTCAGTCTCTTCCCCACTTCCTTGCGCCACATGCCCCAGGAGCTTCCAAGATGGGACTGTAGAACCTTTCCTTGGGAAAGCCAAGTGGGAGGTATGGGGGGCGCAGGGTGGCCATTGCTGAACCCAAACCCTCTTTCCCTGGGATTGCCCTGCCTCTGCAGAGGGCAGCCCTGGGATTTAGGGAAAAGATGCCACTGCTTGAAAAGAGCAGTGGGTAACTGCTGAGTGAGCACCCCAGCATGCTTTTCCCCTTCCAGTCTTGCAACATAGCCAAATTCGGAAAAGGGACTGAGGGAAATGTGAAATCAGCAAGGGAACGGGCAAGCCATTGCAGGGATGGGGAGGAAATCCCTCATCCCCCATGGTTTATGGACAGGAAAAGATTACTTTTAAATCAATAAATGCCTATAAAGGAAAGATACATGCATATTTGGAAATAAAATTGGTAACTAACGGTTCTTGTAACTGCAGTTGGTGGTTGCTAAAACTACTCAGCCTTTTGACATCAACAGGTTCTGCCACAGTTATGAACTGTGCGGCTCACACTCATGTTCAAAGTATTACATCATATCCTTGTGCTGCAATGTAGATGCTGCCCTTTTTGGGCAAACGGTGGGTCAAACCATTATGCATCTCTTTCCTTTCCTTCTGAGCAAGGAATTTGGGGTGGAAGAGACAAGGGGAAGACTGGCCTCCCTCCTTTCCCCACGTTTAAAGATCATCCAGCGTCATCTTTTGTTTTTTGAGCAGCATCACCGAACTGGAGAAGGGCTCAGCCAAGACAGTTGTGATTCCCACTACCACTTTCCTGGCCACTGCACCAGCACAAGGGGAGGATGTGGAGCGTGTCAGCACTGGAACCAAGTATGCCCTCCGGCAGTGGCTGAAGTCTTGGGCTACCTGAGCTGACCGAGCAGCCGAGGATCTCAGAGGTTTGGGAAGCAGGAAGATCCATTTAGCAGGACTCAAGTTACGTTTGGTTCTCAACACTCCCTGAATTTTTCTTGGCTTTTGTTTTTGGAACTTTGGGGATCTGTATTCCAGTTATTGTTCAGCTGCCAAGAGATAACAAGTCTTGTTTAGTTTTTGCCTTTCTGTGGCTGTAGACATTACTTCACTCATCTGACGGTAATAGAAGGCATGGCGAGTGGCAGGGAAGTAAGTCTTGAACATTGTTGTTAGAGATTCCCTAGATTGCACATCTATTCCTTCAGGGTTCCAAGACATGCTGGTGGGTTCACTTTTCTCTTTTTCCGAGGGGCAAGTTGGAAAGCAAGACCCACACCCAAGAGTCAATCAAGGACTCAAAGTTGATGGAAATACCTTGTAATGATAATTCTGCAAGACAATTCCGTTCTGGACTAGTCAGATCAGATCCCCAAATAAAGCCTTCTGTGAAAGACTAGATTTCACTAGAAAAGATTAAGATGAGGATTGGGGGACTGAAAACAAATTCTAAAAGAGAGACTGACAAACCGAGGAGGGATGGGGACCAGAGGGATGATGCATAGAAGACTTCCTTCTATGGTTTACTCTTCATCAGGGCAAATTCAGAATAATAGGTTGAGGAAGCTTTAATTTTGAGATTGAATCCAGTGGTTACAAGGACCCCTTCCAGCTCAAGGAAATCATCTATGGGTTCAACGTTGTGCTAAACTATAGTTATAACCATGCTATATTGAAAACTCAAAATTAGTTGGATTCACACAACTTGCTGCCATAAAGCAGGGTTTAAGAAGCCACAAAAGCTGAGTTCTGTTCCATGTGTGCAACAGCTGTTTTGGAGTGTCTTGGGCCTGGACACTCATGTTTTGTCTCACTAATGGTCATAACAAGACTGCTTGTTTTAGCTGTGAAACAAAAGTTCATAAGAGCAGGGAATCGCTAAGGACATTGGTGGTGGCATCGAAGGGAGGCGGGGAGAGAACAAGAGAGAGGCTTTCTTGGAGGGGAGGAGGAAGAGCAGGAGGGTCAGCGGGATATGCCAGGCAAGAGCTGATGAAGGAGGAGAAGCAGCAGCACTTTGCCCTACCCACCCTATAAAATCCCTCCAGGATCCCTGCAGGTTTTAGGTTTGTCTGCAATTTGCTACAACAACAAAAAATCCTGAATGGTTCCGCAGGTCTGAAATCCAATTGGTTTGCTACAGGTGTGAACCAAAGCAGTTTCATGTATAACTACCAAATGCACATACAGTGGGGCAAAAAAGTATTTAGTCAGCCACCAATTGTGCAAGTTCTCCCACTTAAAAAGATGAGAGAGGCCTGTAATTTT